ATGCTCACCGCCGGGAGCTGTGGGAGAATAACCTGAAGATGATTACCGTGCACAACCTGGAGGCCTCAATGGGACTTCACACCTATGAACTGGGCATGAATCACATGGGAGACCTGGTGAGACACTCTCTTCATTAATGTTTTTGACTTATGATCATTTTTATTCATTAATGGTGATTGTATTAATGATGTTGAAAAGGTCAACAGGATCAAAGCTGATCCATATTGAAGAGTAGCTGGGTGTGTGATGGATGATAGATTACTGGCAGAAAACTGAGGCTACAAGTGGCTCAAAAGTCTTTGTGTTCAGGCCCAACAGAGTTATGTCAAAACACTTGACCATCATTTTCCACATAAAACCTCCACAGTGACGCTGGCTCAAAACCTCATGCCACAGTTATATGATCAGTTTCCACCTGCCCCTCAAAATACTTTTTTTCACTTCCTGCGTTTACATCTACACTTCTGCAGCTCACATTTTTAGCTTCTGTAGAAGCACCCTTTCTTCCCTTGTTGCCTTCTCTCATGTTTAAGCTAATGAATGAGAAACTAGAAGTTTACATCAAGAAATATCTCGAGCTTTATGACCCACGAATGGAAAAAAATTCCAGTAATATTCCGGCAGCTGGAGCGCCAAAATAATACCATGAAATAACAGAAAATAACTTTCTCATAAAAATACAGTTATTTTCAGTAATGACAATACAGTTTGTTGCCCTAATTTTACATGGGATTTTGCTTTTATCAAGTACTTTTAAACATTAAATTAGGAACATTTTAATGTGATCAAACAATGAAATTACCTTTAAACAAGGTCAATGAATGTGGCAATATGAATAATAATACTTAAATGTACAGAAATATACACAGCAAAATCTCCAGTGTTAAATTAACACTAGAGAGTGTCTATATGTGTCCACTCTTTTGAGTGTTAAATATAACACTGTTATAAAAGTAACCTAGTCAGTTTTCACGATTTACAATGACTAACACTGAGCAGTGCTGATTTTCTAACACTGGAATATTTCTAACATTTTGAGTTATTTTCCACTGTTAGAAAATCAGCACTGCTCAGTGTTAGTCATTGAAAATCTTAAAAACAGACTAGGTTACTTTTAAAAATACAACACTGTCAAAAGTGTTCATTTAACACTCAACAGTGTTATATTTAACACTCAAAAGAGTGGACACATATAGACACTCTCTAGTGTTAATTTAACACTGGAGATTTTGCTGTGTAGAGTTAACAGTTGGTTTAAATAATAATGGATTGCATACCCTGGGA